CACCTTTAAACTAACTCCACCTTTAAACTAACTTCACCTTTAAACTAACTCCACCTTTAAACTAACTTCACCTTTAAACTAACTCCACCTTTAAACTAACTCCATCTTTAAACCAACTTCAGGTCTCTCTTGTAAATGAGTCCCTGAAGCTCAATGGGACTAACCTGTATAAATAAAGGTTGAGTGAAAACTTCTGATCCTCGTGCTCTCTTTAACTTTTATAAATACACAACTAAAAGTATCTGTGCACGTTTTGAATGTTTTTGCACGATGAACTCACAGGAGCTGCTTTGGGCTGATCTTGCGTGCTCGACTCTTTGCTTTCTTCTGCAGGTTTTTCTGGGTCAGTTACGTTTTCGGGCTGTTCTGTCTTGACATGATGCTCCTCATTTACATCAGAGGCTGGTTTCACCGGTGACTCCTCGGACTTTATCCGTGCAGGGTCTGCCATCGTCCCTCGAGCCTCCAGCAGGCTTCAGCCTCTACAAGCAGTTGGGCTAAGTCTACGAGGAATACAAAGTTAGCATTAGCAACTAAATAATAAATATGCTAACTTTCAATATTTCTACTTCAATTCTTATAAATGGAATACCCCGACTAAAAACGTTTCTCCCTTTAGTGAAAACCCTCAAATAAAGAGGAAATAAAAATAGAACTTACTTATCCAGCTAGCAAGCGGAAAGGTTAGCTTAAGATCGGTTAGCTTAAAACTGATGGCTGCATACTCATGACACAATTAAAACATGCGCTTTAAAACTCGAAACAAATTAAATTTAAGCAAATATAACAAACTGTATAAATGTAACTATCAACTGCGGCACGGCATAAATACAGTACTGTACAGCTATTATTTTTACGGTCTTCCTCTTTATGTTTGGAAAAAGCGGCACCTTGAAGCATCACCGCGCCACCTACTGGACTGGAGTGGGAATGTGCAACTCCGTCAAATTTTAATATTTTCGTTCAACCTTTATTTATACAGGTTAATCCCATTGATTCACGGGGACTCATTTATAAGAGAGATTTTATTTTAACACAGAGTAATGATACCAGTGGACAACAAAGACAACCATGGACAATCATAAAGGATGCATACAAATTGTGAATCCATCCATCCATTATTTTTACCCACTTCTTCCTTTTTGGGTCGTGGGGGTCACTGGTGCAGCAGGGCCCATGTCCAGCCTTCACTGTGCGAGGGGCGGGGGACACCCTGGACAGGTTGCCAGTCCATCATAGGGACACATAGAGACAAACGAGACAAACATCCATTCACCCTCTCACTCACACCTAGAGACAATTTAGAGTTACCAATCAGCCTAACATGCATGTTTTTGGTCTTTGGGAGGAAACTGGAGTACCCAGAGAAAACCCACGCATGCACGGAGAGAACATGCAAACTCCACCCAGAA